AATGAAATTGGAGAAAAGAGGCTCTAAGGTGGGTGGGAGGATTAAAAGAGGCTGAAAGAGGGTTGGGGTGGGAGAAGAAGGTTACAAAACATAGGGCAGGAGATGGCAAGTGGAGTAAGGGGAGAAGAAGGCTGCAAAGGATGAAGAGGATACGACTGTAAGGGAAAGTGGGAGATTCCAAGGGGAGAGAACGAGCTGCAACCGTGAAGAGGGAAGTTGCAAAGGGAGATTATAAGGATTGTGGTCGAGCCGGCAAGGGAGAGGGGGAGCTTGCATGGCAGAAGAAGGAAGCTACAACAAAGAGTGAGGGAGGCAGCCAAGGAAACAGACAGTTTTAAAGCCATCAACAAAGAAGTACTCAGCTAAGTGATGACTGGGAAACTTGAAATCACTGAGTCATAGGGTCATAGAGGTCTACAGCACAGTCAAAGACCCTGTAGCCCTCAATTTTGTGCCTGTCAAAACAACCACCCAACTATTCCAATCCCATTTTTTAGGTCCTGGCCCACTGCCTTCTAATGAATTTCTTGCAAATAAATGTGGAATGTCTAGCTTACAGCTGCATAGGTTCAGCAGATAGCATATGTGGAAAAATGTGATGTATGGTGTTGTAATGAATGCTTTGTATTAATTGCTAATTTAAATCTGAGATTGAGACCTGAGACATTGTAAAAAGCAAAAACTGTAATACCACTAAATTGAAGTGAGCTCAAGGAAATGCATGCCAAATTATTTTGTCACCAGAGGTTAGGAATTCCATTCCAGTTTCTTAAGCAATCCAATTTAATCAAAGGAAATTTTGCTGCCACCAGGAGAATGAAGAATGTTTCCCACAATTAAGAGCACCTGGCTGCTACTGTGAAGGACTGGATTAAATCAAGGCCTTATTTCACTTGAGACTGAAATCAAGTCAACATAACTACATGTTGTATGACATGTTTCTGACAATGTTTCTCTTCACTGACATCTAAGTGTTTCACTAGGAAACTGGAAGGTTGTCCTCTAATGGTCTTGGAAGAAAATGCCACTGAATTCCAATATTTCCTACTCTGCAGTTGTCTGTTGTGAGATCTGTGGAGGACCATTTTCAGTTCTCTCCTTCTCGAGAACCCACTTTCTTCTCTTGGTTCACCTGATGAAAGCAAAGCATTTCACGAAGATGGCTGTGAGAGAGAGACATCAAGTTATATTAATGTGAAAGTGGATGGCAGTAATCGATATATATGGCAGTGAGGAATGGCATGTAAAGTGAAGGAATGGTGCGGTTGCAAGGTAATTAGGTGTGAGCAATGGTGTGGTGGAGTCGGTTCGACAAGGCAAAGTGAGAGGGTGTGGTGACAGATGTGAATGTACAACAATACTCACTTTTCTTTACCAGCTTAGGCTATCAAAACACTTCCTACACTGAAGCCAGGAGTATTGCACAATGCAGTGGCTGATGATCTCCTGGACCACCTCCAGCCATGTCTTCTTTGAGACAACAACAGGTTTCTTTGTCCTATTGCTAAGGGAAAGTATTGGCTCTTCAACTCCTCACTCCCTCAGCAGTTTATCATGAAAGGTGCCTTTGTGTATCCTGAGTCCTACATTTGTTGTTTCTGTGCTAAAGCCCCCAAATCCTGCACATTCCATTTTTGGATTAACCATTTGGATTCTTGAGTTTGTATGAGGTCAATCTGCACTCCCCTGCTACAATGTTTTCAGTGCCAAACCTGGAAATAAAATTATAATATAGTGGCAATATCAGAGGACCACAGCCAGACACATTGAAATTGCATCCAGTTTCCCAGACTTCACTGGGACTCATGTATCAGCTTGACACGTTTCACAAAGAAAATTATGTTTTTCAGCAAACTACAGATTGTCAGTATGAATCAAATTTAAATGAACACTGTATTGGGATAATACATTTCCTCTAAGCTTGGGGAAAAATGGTTTAAAATGAACTGGTGGATTCAAAAGCTATAATTAAACCTTTCATTTAGCCTTTGTTTCTAAAGAGGTTGTAAATAATGCAGAGGTTTAAAGCTTTATAAGCTTCACAGTTTGGCAACATGCGAGGTTATTCCCTTAGGTAAAGATTAATTTGCTTCAAATTTCGTTTCTGCCAATTTCTGAGTCAAAATGGATGTTCCCTAGTGTGAATGCATTTTTTTTACTGACCATTCCTGTTACTGCACTTGTGAAGTTATCAGGTTTGGAAACAAAAAGTGGTGATAAAACATAATTATAGTAAATCAACTACACTGGTTCTTTCAATCTTAGGATTTCAGTACTGAATGCTGCAAACCATTAAGCAATCACTATAACTGACACAAATGAGTTACTTGCTACCAATTAGCAATTTTCAGTATGTTGTGATGCACCTTTAGTATATTTTCATTTGGAATTTTATTTAAAAATAGAAGTAAAATAGATTTTGGTTTCTGTTCTGTAAAGTTACCTTGATTTTTAAAAGGTCAGAAAATCATTTCGAATAATGAACTAAAGCAATATTTGATTGAGCCAAATATCTTGATCAGATAACTGGTAAGTTAATTGGTGAATGTTTATATTGATGAGTTTTATGACCTACACAGAAACAGGTGTTCAGAGGTTTGAATTAGATTTCAGAACAGAAAAACATTTTCATACCTGTAGAAGGGCAAGTTTATTTGTAGAAATTTCTAGACTGTGCAAATTTAGATCGTAGAAATCTCCATTTTATAAGAACTTTTTAGAAGCTTGAGGATGTGAGAACTTTGCAAAAGCCTCTTGGTAGCAAGACCTGAAAAGAGGTCTAGGTTATCAAGACTGGAAAGAGGCCTCTAGACCATCAGAGATGGAAAAAGGTGGCTAAGACTTCAAAACTGGAAGGAGTTAGTTGAATAGCAATCTTAAAGTTAAGAAAAGAGTGATATTCCACAGGGACTGAGAATCTGCTAAGGATATAGCTGGGAAAAAGGTAAAATCTTTGTTTTTTTTTATACAGAGATTATGTGTAATAAACGTAAAAGAGCATAGACAGCCTTGCGTGAATATATTCAATGACTAACCACCATGGTAACCAAACTGCAAAGAAGAAACTTATGATCTATTGAGGCAGATTTCAGTCTGGGATTGACTTGTCCAGTCTTACTATCATGCTGAGAGCATAACAAAAACTAAATAAATGGCAGATATTGAAACATTTAGAATATAGAAAATGAATTTGGGAATTAGAAACAGTTACGCAAGAAATAGGAAGAAAATTGATAGCAGTTATATAACTTGCTGCAAATTGGACATGAGTGGAAAATAAAAGATAGGGATCGTAATATTTTTAGGAGGAGAATAATAGACAAAAGCAGTTGTTGGTTTTGGTGAAGGACAGAATAGATACTGTAGATGAAACAGATTAAAACATAAAAAGAGATTAAGACAAAGTAAGCCAGTTAAATATTTTCTAGCTAGTCGGTATTAGTTCCATATACACCTTAGGCTAGACTTCCTCATTTCAATATGGGATGAATCCATAACAGGCTTGCTTTAAAATGATGACTGTACCCTAATTCTGAGATTCAAACCACCCACAATCCTGAGGGCTGTGGAATAAAGAAGGCTGATGTGAGCCAGCAGTCTTAACAATGCATGACAATTGACAATTTCAGAATCCCTGCAATTTGATGGACTTGGGTCAATTTTCAAAAGGAACGGTTCATATCAACTCAGAGCCGTCATGAACCATGGGGGAGTCTTGCTCTAGAGTTGTAATACTTTTCACAGGCATAATTAAATGTTGTATAAGCATTAAATGTTCTATGAACATTAAATATGCTTACATTTCAGTGATTGATGATAGAACTTTGTTTTTAAAATGTAAATGACTATTAAATTGGCCATCACTGTGAAAGTGGAAAAATATTCAGGTGCCAAGGCACATTATTCATTGGATAGAATGCTCCTTTGTATTTACAATATTGAAATTCAGATTTAGCTGTGTTAGCTATCATCATTTGATTTAATATCAGCTTAGGAATCTGTATGAATGTTTTAAAATCTTACACAGATTAATGTACTCTTCAAATAACTTCAAAGACTTTAATAGATTCAGCTTTGGTTGTTTACAGTCGGCAATACAATTTCATTACAAATGATTGGCTGAGCTTCAAAACTCTCTAATGAATCCATCCCAGCTGTCAAGGTTACTATAATTGTATACATATTTAATTGTTTTATGCGATCCTAAGATTTATTTTTACACAGTTTGTGAATTATTGTTTGTTTGACAGTTTTAGGAGCATATCAAAGAATTCCCGATGTTATTATACAGCTCAACAGTGGATTCTGGCTGAGTGCATATGGGCATTGAGGAAACTTTGGGAGGTTAGAGAAAAGAGGGTATGGACGAAGTATGGGAATGAGTGGCAATATAGGGGACATGGGTTCAAAGTGTATACAGTGAATTTGGAAGGGGTATGGAGAATAAGGGAGATATATGGGGGCACAGGGAGTAAGAGCTGAGGGTAAGGGGCCTCAGCTCCATAACTATGTCCCAGATTATGTACGCGGGTCTCTCAACTCAGCTACGTTAGAATCTACCAGCCTCTCTTTCCATCTCAGGCTTGCTTCAGGAAGCATCAGCCCTACTATTACTCCAGCATAAAGATAGTGTGGGTGAGCACTGCCAAAACAGAGTTCTGACTGTGAATTAGGAATGTAGTCTGACTGGCTATTGCTGCCTCCAAGACGAAAATCTGGCTTCATGTTACTGAACTTTAGGCATCCCATTTTGTGGTCTTGATGGGAAAATCTAAATCATACTGATTTCATGGTCATTAAAAGAAGTTTTATGGTAGGCAATTGGATAGAAGAAAAATGAATACAAGTAAGAATACCACGGATGAAAATACAGAGATGTTAGGGGAGAAGGAGAAACACCATCATCGAAGTTGTTTGCATGTGAAGAGAGATAGGTCATGATATAAATGTTCTTTATTTCAAATACATTTTCTAAAAGAGTGACTTCGTTTGACTTTTACCTTTCTTGTTTCAATGCCTCTAGCTTCTCTTCTGCCTGACTTAGGGCAGTTTTTAGAGTCAGTATTTCGTTTTGTGAGACTGATGATCGGTTTTGTATTTCTGACTCCTGGCGAACTTTGATTTCTAGCTGTTCTTCTAAACTCTTACACTTTTGTTCACACTGCAGCCATTGTTTCTCTTTTTCTTTAATCTCTTTGCAATATCTGTGATAATATAAAGAATATCAGTAATCAAAATAACCTTCTGCCTATAATAATAGCGTACAACAGCAAATGAAAACCCATTATTTACCTTGATTCCCTCTCATCATGTGCACACTCCAGTACTGTTAGCCTTGAGAGAAGATCTTCCACCTCCTTTGATTTATTCCTATGTGATTATAAAAGCAACAATGATTACATTTTCCAATATCCATTCTTTGTTAAATAAGCATCAACACAAAATTAGACACTAGGGGGCAACTTTTACAGCCAGCAAAAAGCAAGAAGGAGAGAACGGAAATCTTGTACAGCAGTTGGGGTGGCAGCCTGACATGATTCACTGAGAACTCTGCTCTTCTTTGGTTTAGACCTCCGCTGTGACGCCTGTTCCTTTGCTGGTAACCTGGTCAATGCGATAAGGTCTGGAATTCCTTTGTCTTCTTTTTTCCTACTCTTTCTCTTCCTTTAAGACATGGCTTAAAACTTAACTCTTTGAACTAATGTTTAATCATGTCTCCCAATTTCTCCTGTGTGGCTTGGTGTACTTTTTTTTTATTATACTCCTATCTTGGGATATTTTACCACATTAAAGATACTTTAAAAGTACAAGTTATGGTTGCTACACTTAACCTGTAAACCTGCTCTAACTAAAGCTTTTGGGGTGGCACAGTAGCTCAGTGGTTAGCACTCCTGGCTCACAGCGCCAGGGACCCAGGTTCAATTCCACCCTCAGGCAACTGTCTGTGTGGAGTTTGCACATTCTCCCCATGTCTGCGTGAGTTTCTTCTGGGTGCTCCAGTTTCCTCCCACAGTCCAAAGATGTGCGGGCTAGGTGGATTGGCCATGCTAAATTGCCTGTAGTGTCCAGGGATGTGTAGCTTAAGTGGGTTATAAGGGGATGAGTCTGCGTGGGATGCTCCAAGGGTCGATGTGGACTTGTTGGGCCGAAGGGCCTGTTTCCACACTGTAAGGATTCTATGTGAATAAAGCAGTGCAAATACAAAGTGATGCATCCAAGATTGCCATATTAAAAAATATTGAGCATACACTGAATGTTTAGGCAACAGGTTGACTATATAAATAATGAATTTTCACACAAAGCTAGTCACAGCAATTCGTATAACAGCATTCTGTTAAATCAGAACAGAATATGTTCAAAATAAAGTATTCATGCCTAACGATATTCTACATTAGTGAATACGGCATTGACAATGGAAGAATGCCATTCTGCTGTGCTCCCATTAGTTAGAACTACAGTGTAGTATTTTAATAAATTCTTCCAGACTTGCTAAAAATGTGAAGAAATAACAGCGTAGAAGAGAAAAGGGATATGTAGATATTAGAGAATAATTGGATAAATGATATACTGTATTAGCTTAGAATTCAGAAACTAATAAGCTGAGAAGGAAGGTAAATTCAATGTCAAATCTTGTATAGCAAAATAAATAAAGATAAAGAAAGATTGCCAAGAAAAGGAAAATACAAAGTAAGAATGAAATAGGAAAACAAAACCTGAAACTTGACAATTTTAAAACACTACATTTCCTGCAACTACACAAGGACAGGATGCCTACACCATTGACATCATCGATGCATGCAGTTTTGGTGCTAGGGATATCACTGCTGGAAATGCTGAACGTAATCTTGCACAAAAGAACAGGATAAAAGAGTTTATTTTCAAATATTTTAAATCAATTCAGTTCAAGTCCTGGGATTGCAATACTCACACAGCATCACTTCAACACTCATCAGCCCTGCTGTGTGCCCCCACTGCTCATTCTGCACATAGTCTTATGCAAAGTACCATTGATGGTTGTTTAACCAAAGGATGTTCACACCATACTTGCATTCAATGAACCAATCACCAGACTGCTTAATACCTTGCCCACTGCATTATTTGGTGTTCTAATTGCTGCTGCACTGCCGCCCTACAAGGTACTCTGGTTGCTGTTGTGCTCACCATCGAAGGCACTGTAGTTGCTCCTGTGCTCAGCTTGCCACTCTGCTTGACATTGTGGTTGCCACCCCACTTACCACTCCACTTGAAACTCTTTGTTCCGGTGTTCACCACCCCACTCACTTTTCTGCTCACCCATCCCATTGCCACTCTGCTCACTGCTTTAATCATTGCTGTGCTCACAAACCCACTTGGCAGTCTAGTTGATGTGCTTGCATGCCACCCCTTTGGCTACACCACTTACCATTCTGCTTGTCCACCTCATTCACTGCTGTAGTTGCCATGCCACTTGCTGCTTTGCTCCCTGCCCCACTCACCGCCTGCCTGTTGTTTCAGTTGCTGCCCCACTTGCCACTCCGCTCGTTACTCTCGTGGCTGTTCTGCTCAAAGAATGGCAAACAGCAAAGAATCAAGACAGTGAGCAACAGAGAGGCAGACGGGGAACAGGAACAGGAACAGGTACAGGGTTGACAAGTGTTGGAGTGAGTCTGCATGAGTTTTGTAATCCCAGGATTTGAACTGAATTAATTTAAAATGTTTGAAAATAACCCCTTTTATTAGTTCGATTCTTTGCCACAAAGTTACCTTCAGCATTGCTAGCAATGATATCACAGGCATTTTATCTGCATGAGGGGTAAGTGAGCCCTCTGAAGCTATAGTGACAGCCTTTGTCATTAACAATAATGTTATTAATGTACTTACACTGATAATGGCTTGACTTAATGATTTAACTTTCTCTTGCAAATTTAACATGCAATTAATGTGTAAATTCAGAAACTTTAAGCAAACTGCAGGGGCATCAAGTGTGGATCATTCTTTTTAGAGTGCTAAAGGTGGTTTAGTGCAAATCAGGCAGAAATTTGTATCAAATCTTTTTTATAAAGCAGAATATTTTGTCTTAGTTTCAGTGATGTTTTTTCTGGTGTTACTTAAAAAATAATCAGTCTCTTTTTCTCAGGAAGATTTTTGTAAACACTGATGTCTTCCAGTCCCTCAGCACACATCAAGATCCTCTTTAAGGTCTTTCACTACCATTTCTCTTGTGGAGACAGCTGTATGCAGTCTGTTATTCTTTCTCCTGTATGTCTGGTGTAGAGAAACAGTGGCTTGCAAACAGCTCTGCTAAAAGTACTTTTAAAAGCAAGGCTCCAACTGAAAGAAGGCGGTCTCCTTTACATCACCATTTTAGTCTACAGCACGTTGTCCAGACTGTAAGTAATGTGCATCCTATCTCTTTTGTGCTGAAAGCAGGCTTTTATCATGAGTCCATTTTAGTTTCAGTTTATGCTGTGCAGGCTTTCTGAGCAATTATAAGCTCTGTATACTTTAGGCTCTAATGTCTTTAATGTGGGTAACAGGTACAATAGGTGGAATGTTGTTGAGGTGTTCGGATTGGACCTGCTTTTTTTTGGGGAACCCATCAAAGCACAAGAAAATCATGCAGTGAGACCACCAGGAGGCCTTCCCCCGGCATCAACTCCTGAGGGCAATAACCTGCTTACCAAGAGCTAGTCGCCAATCAGACGGTGAAAACTCTTATTCTCAGCAATGCCAGGAAGAATACAGAGCAATCCAGGTCATAGGTAAGTAATATTGTTGTTAGGGGCTGGGCGAGCAGTGTGTTTAGTGGGGTAAGGCTCTCAGTCAACTGCCCTTCGCAATATCCTCAATCAGGCACTGAGTGTAACATTCCACATGTAGAAATATACTCAGATTTGGAACACAGATAGCAAATTCACACAGATATATGACAAGATCTAACTTGCAGTGATCTTGGGCTTTAGTCTGCTTCAAGCTACAGAAGGATTAAAAAAAAGTACAACAAGACCAATTAGATTGGAGAACATTGATTACATCATAAATCTTGAGAGCAACATTTGAACATAGGGCAAACTTCAAGAAATCTAGCTATGTTAGCCTACTAACATAGGCTAATGATAAGACATGCAGGTTTTTTTGACAGGAGGAGGATTAAATTAAATCTTCAGAAATGGAACGCATGTCAACAACTCTCCCTTAATGATCATTACACAACAGGTAACATGCAATTTCCATTAAATTTCAAAGAGTAATAATGATCTCACAATAAACTCCATGAATATAAGCAAGGTTCTATATAATTCAGTTCAAAAACAAGCACAACATCTTACATTTATTTTAATGCAGCAAAGCATTCCAAGGTGTTTCAGAATGCCCCCATGAAGTCTCAAGGCTCAGGTTAAATATGGGTAAAGAAACCTCTGGCTGATTACCATGTACTGTGCTACCTCAGCTGAATAATCAATGCTCCTCCATGTTGAACAACACTTGGAGGAAACACTGAGGGTGGCAAGATTACAATATGTACTCTGGGTAGAGGACTTCAATGGCCACTACCAAGAGTGGATTGACAGTAGCAGTACTGATCAAGCTGTTTGAGTCCTAAAGAACGTAGCTACTGGACTGCGTCTGCAGCTGGTGGTGACAGAACGAACCCAAGTGGAGAAAACATACTTGATCTCATTCTTACCAATCTGCCAGCTGCAGATGCAACTGACCAGGACAATATTGGTAAGAGTGATCACCAGACAGTCCCAGTGGAGACAAAGTCCCGCCTTCACATTCAAAATACCGTCCATCGTGTTGTGTGACACTATCACATACTAAACTTCAAACAGATCTAGCAACTCAAGACTGGGCATCCATGAAGCATTGTGGGTCATCAACAGCAGCAGAATTGTACTCCAGCAAAATCTGTAACCTCATGGCCTGGCATATCCCCCAGTAAACAAGTACCACCAAGCCAGGGGATCAACCCCAGTTCAATGGAGAATGCAGGAGGGCATGCCAGCAACAGCACCAGGCATACCTAAAAGGGAAGCGTCAATCTGGTGAGCTAAGCAATTCCAAAATCAATGGACCTGATCCAAATTCTGTAGTCCTCTCATATCCAGTCATGTATGGTGGTGGACAATTAAGCAACTTACTGGAAAAGCAGACTCCAAAAATATCCTCAATGATGCAAGAGACAAGGCTGAAGCATTCACAGCAATCTTCAGTCAGAAGAGCCGAATGGATGATCCATCCCAGTCTCCTCCAGTGGTCCCCAGCATTACAGATATGAGTCTTCAGCCAATTCCATTCACTCCATGTGATATCAAGAAACAGTTGGAGGCACTGGATACTGTAAAGTCTATGGACACTGATAACAATCTGACAATGGTATTGAAGAC